GACACAGAGTTGCCCAAGGTATATATATATATATATATTGTGCTTTCGAGTGAAATTTCATTGTGTTGTGGTTTCTCGTTGGAATTGAAATCGATTTGATTGGCTACCTCAGATGAGCTCAACATTATTAGCCAATCAAAACCCATTTCTCAATGAAATTCAACAACCAATCAGATCGATTGTGGATCGGTTATTTGGTCGGCGCGATTCGATCCCCAAATTTGTATATCAAATCGACTAACTATACTACTACCAAACTATCTATAGTCGTTCTTTTACGCAAAATATGGTTGATTTTTTGCCAAATCGATCACTCTTTGTGTGGCTTTTATATGTACAGATCGTCCAGTGTCATTCTAATTGAAGTCACACACACTAATATTCGATGTTGCTTAATTGGTCCAAGATTGGATCATTTGATTGGCTACTTGATTCGTCATCTGGGTTTTGATTGGTCGATATTTATCGATTGTCTGCCGGTGATTTTTGGTGATTCTGCTCAATATTAACGATTGAGCACTCCGAAACTCTCCAATTTCGACTTGACAATACATACAGTACTATACATACTGTACGTTCTACACATGTTTCAAGAAGTAGAGTCGAAAGAAATAGGCTGGTTGGAATGTTTGGTGATGCAAAGTTCGTTTGTAGGGGTCCCAATTGCCCGTGTTCTCGGAAGTGGACATGGAGCTAAGCCAAATGCTCAACACGCTTGCGTGCGCGTTCACAGTGCGCAACTTTACCCACACCCGCGTATCGCCTATGGTTGTCGTGGATTTAATTCGTCTGGGGCGCCATATGCTCACCAACTTTATTCAGCTCGTGCACTATATCTTTGTCATGCAGTTGTACGTGGCGACGGTCGTGTGTCTATCGTATGTGCTGCCGTTCCCAGAGGTGGCGTCGCTGGGGTGCATGTCCATCCTGTGGCTGCTGTGGATCGTCGTGCCGGCGCTGAGCTTGTCGCTGCTGTCGTCGCCGCCGGACCGACACATCATGACGCGGACGCCGCGGAAGAACGAAGCGTCCGCGTGGACTGACGATGCTACCCGGCTGTGCATGTACTTCCTTGTGCGGTGCGTCCCCCCTGTCCACTCGATATTTTGTGTGGCTACAATGATGATATTACAATATTTTTCTGCGCCATGTTTCTCTATGTTGCATCTTATATTTCCCCCCAATATTTGGACATTTGTACTGATTCTTTGCCAAATTTATCGAGTAATCATATATGTATGTCGTACCTTTTGGATGAGAAGTTGTCCCCTCCTGTGAGGATATGGAATCCCACTCCTTTCAGTCTCACACTATTTAAAGATATTGATGGATGGGATGGTTTCCAGCAAAATCTGTTTGGCGCGTTGCGATGATATATTCTTTTTTAATAATATTGTCTTTGTTTTACCCAATATTTGGACTACTTTTGTGCTGATTCTTTGCCAAATCGATCGATATATCGATTCTTTGTACTGACTTTTGTCCAGTATCACACTAATTCCAATCACACACTAATTCGATGATGAATTATTCCAAGAGTTGATTTGATTGGCTCGTGGATTCATGTTTTGTGTTTGGATTGGTCGATCTTTGATTCTCTGCCGATTTGGTGCTCATTCGATTGAGAACACTCCCAATTCGAATCGAATCAACAATATATATATATATATATATATAATGAATTCGATTCAAAGTAGTGGAGTAGGTAGAGTCCAATCGAATAGCCCAAACGCAGACATTTCATCGACTAGCCAATGAAATTGCTTCAATCCTGAATTCCAACCAATGGGAAACAATTGTGCTTTTAGATGTTTTCTTCAATAAACTGCCCAGTCCAAATTAAAAGGACACACAATAATATACTTGTGGTGGTGTCGATGATACAGTCGTCTTCCTGTGGCTCCAGTTTAGAATTAAAATATATCTTAAGAGTCAGACAAAACGATCCTTATATTGTGCTTTCGAGTGAAATTTCGTGTTGTGGCGTGGTGTCTTGTTGGAATTTAAATCGATTTGATTGGCTACTTCAGATGAACTCAAAATTATTAGCCAATCAAAACCATCTCAATGAAATTCAACCAATCAGATCGATTGTGGATCGGTTTGGTCGGCGCTATTCGATTGCACCCCCTCCCCAAATTTGTATCAAATCGACAATATCAATCTCGATATTAGATACGTCCCATCGGCCATCTTTGTGAACATTGTTTTCCAAGTGATTTTCGGCCTGTCGCTGCAGTTTGCCGCCGAAGCCGCGTCGCTGAACCCTTCGCATGAATCATGGTGGTATTTTGCCAATAAAGGTCCTCTGCTGTTTGTGCATCCGCGGCCGCCAGTGATCATGGCCGCGCTGGACCGAGCCGAAGCATTCCTTCTCCTGGCCATGGGCTGGTTTTGCATATTTAGCAGCATTAGCCACTGCTACCGGTCGTACAGCATCTTTTCCGAGTCGCCATTTCGCAATCATCCGTGGATGTTAACGTGTGTCGTGTGCGTGGTGCTGCAGGTACGTCCCCCCCTCTCTCTCTCTCCCTGTTGCAAGTTGTTTATACACAATTATGGTAGATTGGCGTGAGCGTGTGGCGCGCCGGGGGGCTCGTGGGCGGGGACGGACTCGCCCTCGATGCGTTTGTGAGGTTTATTCCGGGGTACGTTTGGCTGGCGCTGGGTGTGTGGCCAATTCTGGTGGTGCTGGTGGACGAACTTGCCAAGCAACACGACCACCGGCTGCTCATTCGGTACTACAAGTTCCTCCGCATGCAATTTGACACGCGACTGGGCATGTGGAGTCCCAAGTAGTAGAAACTCATGAAAATACCCTTAACATCACCACGATCAAGGCATCGCAAACGGTTATAAATGTTGGCGGTAGTGGTATTTAATACCACTAGCGCAAAACGAAATACAGTACTACGTAGTAGTACTAACTATTCGCGACGTACTATTGATAGTAGTACTTGCATTGATTGACTGGGAGCAATACTAGTACAACCGGTAGCGGTAGTAATGGCGTAGGTAGTAAGTAATATGAACTATACGTATGGGCGCAGTTCCGTGACACTTTTGGGGTTCCTTTACTCCAAATTGCTATTATAATAGTGTTTCTTAAAGAGGAGAATAAATAATGAAGTTCGTAGAACTTATTAATAAAATCGAAATTCGTATTAGTGTTGATGGAAAATGAATTAAAAGAGTGGAAATATCGATAGGCTGAAAACAGTTCCGAGCCACTTGATTTTGTCCAGTTATCTGCATCTGATTGGCTGAAAGTTTCAGAGTGATTGTTTTCTACCAATCATGCATCGTGGCACGGAACCAAGTCGGCACGGAACTCACCGAATTCCTGTTTGAGTTTCGATATACTTTTTGCACTGTAGCTAACAGTAAAGTCATTGGACGAGTCAGCAATCACTTGATATTGCACCGTCCTACATAGAATGAATTAAAACCAACACTCTTCATCGGCCACGAATTATCCCATTATCCCGACATCTCACTCCAAAATGGGAATTGGCAGGCGCGAGCTGACGAACGATGAGCGCGAAGCCATCCTCCGTGAAACGTTGCTGAAAAGTACTGACGGGTTCCCCACAAGGCTGCCGCGAGGATTCGGCCCATACTTGGCAAGCAAGTACCACTGCCATGTGTCGTGCATCCGCAAAGTGCTCGCTCGCGCCAAGGCTCAAGGGGTCGCCGATGGCAACATGAACGTGTCCGTGGCCAGTCTCAAGAAGGGCAAGGTCGGGCGGAAGCATGCTTTTACGGAAGCAGAGATAATGGCAAAGCTTCTGCAAGTTCCTCTGGTCGATCGAACGTCACTTCGATCCATCTCAGCTCACACAGGTATGTATGGTGCCATGATTGAAACGAAGACAGAGATTGAACTGTGTTGTTTATCTACCATATAGGAATTAGTCGTACGTCGTTGCATCGCTACCTCAAGCTTGGAAGGCTCCAATCATATGCAGCAGGAATGGAAGCGTAATCTTCACTTGCCATGAAAGAGTACATATCAGTGCTCTCATATGTGCAACCAACCGTTCAAGTTAACGACCCCTACACGCCCAAACCCACTGCAAAGTCGTGGTTAAGCTTGCGTATACTAACTACTAGTGCACTACTACTACTACTTCTACTACTACGTAGTTCAACATTGCACTCTACTAGTACTAGGGTAGTATAGTACGCACAACTGCAAATGGACGTACGAGTTGCACGGTGTCGCATGTATTTACACTGCAGTGGGATGCCATCGTTCGACGATGCCATCGTGAAACACGGCGACATGCAACGGCGCGGCGGTCAACGGCTTGTCCCCCCATGCATAGAACAGAACAAACTGTTCTCCATGGCCCGCGTGGTTGAGTTCGTTGAGAAGCACCTTTACATTCGGACCCTTTCACGCTTTCTCACCATCTCTAACCAACCAAGTGGACCACGGCTCGCGTCTTTTATCGAGCTCCGCCAGGTAAAACACACATTGGGGTGCCATGCAAACCCAGTGTTCTTCATGGCTCGAAGGCGAAACAGTCACGGAGCAGCAGGCGAACAACTGGCGATAACGAACAGAAGTTCGATCTCCTAGACGCACGCACGAATCATCTTGATCAAGTCCTGGTCAAGATGATTCGTGCAACGCCAACGCGTTGTGCGTGGTCAGCACCATCACTTGTTCGATGAGCAGGGCGTTCTGGACCATATATCGGTTGGGCATATTCGAGCCAAACGCTGCGCTTCGCATCGCAATGGCGGCTGCAAGCATGTCGTACGCCGGCATCAACACCTTGGGTAGGTGAAAGTACGAGGCGTAGATGGTGCCTTTCACATGGGCGACGGCAGACGTCGCGGTGGAGTAGAAATTTGGACAAAAGTCCCCCATTAAGATGTCACTGGCCAATACGTAAACACGGGGTAGAACCGTAGTTGATCCATCCATGGCTCAATCATCGTCAATAGAGTGGTCGTCGCCTCGACAGGGTTGTGTTGGATCAAGTACGCCACCACCAATATTGCACTGCTCTCGGGCACGTCGACGTCATAGTGGTCACTTTCGAGCGGTCGAACCAACCAATGGAGGTCGTATTCCGCCAGAAAGAAGTTGTGCAGGTCCAGGCGAGTCGTGGTAGCCGCATTCAATTGAAAGTGGTCTATGAGCCGCAGCTCGTTGGGCGTCAATGGCCCCCCAGCGAGGAACCCCCCTGTGGCAAACCCCCCCTGGGCTACGCATTACTTGATGCGTAATTCTCGGGCCCTTTTGAATAATGAACGAACGGTCCACTCCAAGTTGTGCTATCTGGTGAGAGATGTTGCCATCTACTGGTATATGAATGCTGGACTATGTATCCCCAAAGGACGTTCATTCACAATCCAACTCTTCGCTCACGAATTACAGCAACTGTGAGTCCTCTCTCTGTACGAACTAACTTGCATAATTCACTCCTACAAATTACGAGATGGAAACAAGAATCGAGCCAGGACCATAACCAGAATTGGTATCGCTCGCGACAATACTCGTTTTCATAGACAAGTACTAGTATGTAATAGCAACTTTACAGTTAATGAAATACATGTATGATGTCATGCCGATGAAGTATCCAATGCCAGTTGAAATCGGTCTGTTTGGTAGAAGAGAGGCTTGTTTCTGTTTCGTTCGATGTCTCTTCGCAATCGTCGCATGCGGCCATCGCTAGTCCCCGGTAGCAAATCCGACAAGTCCACGCCGAATTGTCGCCACTCTTGGTCCAAACTCACAAAACCACCCTTGTCTGTAAATGCATTCGATTTGAACTCCCTTGTCAGCGTCTGGCGTTCGTTATTAACTCGATCTCCCACAACACTACCCCCAACAATTTATGATTGTCCATCAACCATCAAAATCAACATACATACCAACTCGAAATCGATGCAGCGACGTCAACGGATACAGTACGCTGGGAATTCAAGGATGTTCTCGCTCGCCACCACAATTCGATTCGGTGACCGATACGTTTGCCAGACCATCAATGGCTCGGCATTTCGAGTTCAATCTAGCTGCGAGTACACCATGTGTAGTTGCGGCGTCGCGCGAGCTTCTCATCGGGAGCAAGGATGTCCACCACGCGGTGAGTCTCAGCTAGTGGCGGCAGGAATGGAAACGGCCTCGGATGAAGAGGAATCCTGGTTCCGTTGAGTCTTAGCGTCGTGATGATGAAGTTCATCATCACGACGCTAAGACTCAACGACCACAGCAATCTGTTTTTGGTTTGATAAGCTTGAGGGTTATCTCTCCGTAAATGCTGAAAGGCCATTGGTGAATTTATGTCGAATCATATTGCACAGCTGACATCCGGATAAATCCGTACAATGTGCATTTTCCGCACCATATGCAGGTTGTTTGCCCCACATGCCAGTCACTCCGTTAAAGCGAGTCGTACTCACCCGAGCCATGTCATCATCCGCAGCTACCAAAATCGTGCGCTTCCTGGATGCGTACGGCAACGAGCGCATCGGCCAGGAACCAGCCCCAGGAACCCAGCAGTCACAGCTGATTACGGGCAAAGACATCTTTGGGTCCAAGACACTGACGTCGCAATTCGCCGAAGTCCGCCGAGTGCTGGCGCCGTTCGTGCCGACGCAGATCATTGGCATCGGTCTCAACTACCGCAACCACGCCAAGGAAACCAACATGCCAATCCCCAACTTCCCCGTCGTGTTCTATAAGAACATCAACTCGGTGGCCGACCCAGAAACCTCGATTGTCCTGCCGAAACGCGAAGGCACCCACGTCGACTACGAGTGCGAATTGGCCGTGGTGCTCAAAGCTCCGTGCAAAGACGTGTCGGTGCAAGACGCTCTGAAATTCGTGGCGGGGTATACGGTACGATAGCACTTTCTACGGCCACTTTGCTGTGTTTCACCGTGATGTAGTGCGCCAACGACATTTCCGCGCGCCGCTGGCAAGGCAACGCCATGGGAGGGGGACAATGGTGTCGAGCCAAGTCGTTCGATACGTTCTGCCCCCTTGGGCCGGTGCTCGTGACCCCCGAAGGCATCCCAGACCCCCAGAACCTCACGATTGAAACCATCTTGAACGACGTGGTAGTCCAACGCTCCAACACGAAAGACATGGTGTTCTCCGTGGCGGAATTGATCAGCCAACTGTCCCAAGACACGACGCTTCCTGCAGGAACAGTCATCCTTACGGGTACCCCCGAGGGCGTGGGGTTCACCCACAAGCCGCCGATTTACTTGAAACCAGGCGACAAGGTTGAGATTCGCATCCAACACATCGGGTCACTGTTGAACTACGTGATTGGGGCATCGTCGCTCTGACAAAATAGTAGTACGCTGCGAAAGAGTAGTCGTAATATATTTTGTGGTTGAAGTAACGTAGTGCAATGTCGACAGGTTCTGCTCATGCACTGCTTCACTGTCAAGGCGAGTTTTTCAAATGTAGTTTCGGACATGGTGTGAACATAATATAGTTCGAGAAGAATACTACTACTAGTACCCCCAATTGGAAAGGACTGATTGATTTAGCTTGTTCGCGCTTTGAACAAGTGTACCTAGGCCGAAATAGGGGACTAAAGCACTGTATACTTCCAAATACAATGTGGTTACAGTACTACCTACATACATAGTAGTACTACGATTCTTGAGCTAGTTGGTCTTTTCTTTCAATCCCGACAGCTTGTCCCCTCGCAAATGCAAATTCTACCCAAACATCATATCCAACACCCGAGGGACTCGTACTAGTTGTAGTAGTACTAGCCACACAACTAGTAAGTCATATCTGCGACGCTTGCGGCAGGGCGTCCATGGTGCCGCTAACATTGGCTTGAGCGTCCTATGCCTTGGTGGCTTCCTTGACCAATCGGCGGTCGCCCACGGGTTGCTCGTGTTGGTCCTTCTCCACCGACCGCACCACAAATACCTTGAAACACGTACTAGTATATTTTTCATAAATATTATATATATATATATGTACACGATACCATTGTTCCAAACCACTTCTTTGGGTGCAAACAACTGCTTGAAGAACCCCCAAAAGTCTTTCTTTTCCATGACTCGGTCGATATTCTCCTTCAACTCGTCGTGTACTGACGCCCGCCGCGAACTAACCAACGGTGTCTTGATCGTTGTCTACGATTACATTAATCCAACTATGAATATGTATATATAAATATAAATATATAAATCCCATGCAAGATGCCAAATTACGATAAATATATACATATCGAAACAGGTCTCCTAATTCCTACTGGTATTCACTTATGGAGAAATAAAGTATTACACATCGAGTTCACGAAGGCGTCGTAAACTTCACTCAATTCCATCTCCCCTCCGAAACAGCTCTACCCAAACAAATATGGGAAACTCCCCAATCTTGTTTGCAGAGGCTAACATTTTGATGCATAGCATTTCGATGGCTTGATACCGCAATCCTGACTGACAACTAACATATGTCCAACCACACCACGCACATCACCAGGCTTCTTACGACGATTATGGAACCAAACGTCCTTGCCGCTTCGACATCACCACGTGGCAGTGCCACCCTCGAACCACAAGCCTCAAGAGATCGCGATCTCTGCGTAGGTCGTCCTTCATTCGTATCGTCTGTTGGAATGCCACGGATCGGTCGATGAGTTGCTCCCGCTCCAGCACCCGACAGAGCATGCTGTACGTGCGTCTTTGCGATGCTCTGTCATTGGCAAACTCGACCCAAACCGCCCACAAGTGTCGTGTGCGGTTGAGCCGAGCCAGGCGAATAGACTGTCCAATGGCCACCACTTTCTTCCACCGCCAAAGCACAGCCATCGCCGACCGACCACGTCGACGCCCTGCCAATGTTGCAATGGCTTGGTGGACATATGTAAATCGAAACCACGTTGCTAACACAGTTCGACACACACGTTGTCGTCGGTTGCGTCGAATTCGGAGTTGCCCCGCCACGCCAAACCACCGGCGCAGCAACGATCGAACGACGTCTCTGCACCGCCGATTCGTATGATATCGCCGCAGCCAGAGCACGGTCACAGCCTGGAACCACGCTTGAAAGCTCGTCCGCAACACTTGGCGGTCCCGTTTCGCCACTGCAAATTGCACTTTTTGCCGCCTTGCAGTGTCAACCTTCCACCGCCACAACACTAATGCAATTACACGATCAGTTTGTCCTTTGAAATATCAACGGTATCCACCATATCTAGTTTTGATACGCGTCCGTCGTAGAAGTTAGTATATACCTGAGGCCAGCTGAAGACGATTCAGGACACACCATAACCCGACGCGAGCGCGTAAATGGACTCGAACTGCCAACCCCCAACCCTGGAACGCTCGTGCGACAAGGGCAAACTCCCCACGGGCGCGACGTTTTAGCGAACGCAGTACCTTTTGCCAATGTACGAACCACTTCGCCCGACGGTGCACCATCAATTTCACGGCAGTATGTTGAAGTTGATGGAAGTGTAACCACGATCGCCAGGCATGATCGAATTGGACTAGTCTGAGGTGCGTATCAGCCACTCGTTCGAGCTGGCGACGACGCCGTCTAGAGTGCACAAAATCCGTCCACAATCGCAAGCCACGACGCTGTTTCACCACGATGGTACTACTGTCCTTTCGTTGCATGGCGGGGTGCTTTTGTACGTATCGTTGTAGACATATTAATAGAAGAACACATGAAACATCAGTTGCAGTGTACTTACGATCAAGAGTCGCCACACATGCCATACTTGCCGTAGCCGACTGTGGCGGCGTCGTCGACTAGCCACATGCAAACATGCGTGCAACTTTGTTCGACCTTGGGCTTGGCTATGCCACAACAATGTGCTTTGTCGTGCGCGCCATCGCCGCATGTGGCTCTTGGCAGCGCTGGCTCGATGGCGTCGAACCGATGCAGTTGATGCGTGAGCCGCCCACGCCGTCAAATGTCGGCGGGTCACGTGTTGGTGCACAGATCGCATCAGGTGGTTGAAATAACACATATCGCGGAGCTTGGCCACGGTGGTTTTGAGTCGAAAACGGCAGTGTTGGGTCGAAGCGATGCGATACTGTTGAGAGGAATGTCTCCGCCCTATGACGTACAGATGCCACAACTGCCATCGAAGGCGCAGCATCCATCGACGCCGCCACTCGACGGCGTCGGCCTCAGCTTGTACCATCTGGTGACGCTGACTGACCACACATTTCCACAGAACCCAGCACCTGCGTTTCATGGCCAACCGACGGGCGAAGATCCCGTGCAACGTCGCTTGCCTTTGCTGAAACAGTGCGCGCCATTTAAAGTACCACCGCCTCGATGCAGCGGAATGCACCAGTTGAACCTGCCAGTCTCGGAGATGCTGCCACTGGGCAAAGTGCACAGTCCACTGCCGCACACCCTACATAGTATCCACACACGCCCATGTTTTTTCAGTTAAATATGATCCCTAAAGTGGACAATGGAGGGTGTATACCCGATGTAATTGGCGGCGAAGCACTTCCTTGGCTTGCATAGCTAGAATTTGGCGTATGTAGCGCTGGCGCGACGTCAAGTTGGCCCATACAAGGCACACTTGATGACGAAATGTCATCGCTCGAACGGCAAGACACTTCGCGACCTACAGTTGATGGATGATAAACAACAGGATAAAGCATCATCCACCCTAATTAAAACGGAAAAAACGCTAAAGTAGACACGTTAACAACCTCGTGGCTTGTCCACGTACGTCGCCGCCAGGCTTTGAAATGCCGCCGCATGCATCGATGGTCATTCCTTTGAATCATCGCCACCACTCGGTCTTTACGCCCTTGTCGAACACTGTACGCCTATATCGAAATATTATACCAAGAATGCGGATGTGACTATATATTAATAGTACAATTGAAACCATCTCATGCGCAACCACACAATGTGTTTACCTGTCGCCAGCGAGCCCAAGCCGACGTCGAACCCTTCCGCAGCGTGTCGATACGATACGCCACCGCTCGTTGCCACAGCTGCTTGCGACCTTTATACCGCTGCACCCATGCAACAAAACACGATAGCAGTCCCACAAGACGCCGGCGCCAGTAGCGACGGTCGGCTTCCTCCCTCGCCGCGCGAAGTTGGGCGGTACGATTCCGCCACTTGATCCACGCATAGCACCGTCGACGATGGCCTTGCTCTTGGGTCAAGATTAGCAAGGACTGACGGCGGCCTTGCTGGGCGACACAGAGCCTTCTCCATGCCCGCAGCATGCTGGAAGCTCGATCCACGAGCTGGCGACGGCTACATTGCCTCGCCATGTGGAGACATGTGGTCACTCGACGCCACAGCCGCAGTACGAATTTACGTGACCAGTATTTGTGAATCGTGTGTAGTTGGGACGTCCACAAGTGCTGCAACGCAAGGGTGTCTTCAAGCACCGCTTTCCATTCAAACAACGCTAGTGGAACGTATCGGGATCGTAGTACGTGATCGTAGTGACGTCGGGCGAGAAGCATGCAATAGCGCTGGCGCTGCTGCCATCGGCGGTACTGATGTAACGCGTATAGTGCCCGTCGTGCCAACAATTGGTCGTGCCGATAACGCAAAAATATCACTTTTTGCCGTTGGTTCTACGAAACGTATCGTATCGACGACGAATTCCTCGTGAATATATATATACATACACATGTTGGTCATGTCATTCCTACCTCGACTTGCACGAGATGTTGCTTCCACGCTTGAAACAAGAAACACTTTCGCTGACTCGATCGATTCGCTTGACTGGTTGCAATGTGATGCCGCAAGCGCTGCCGACGCGCCACAGCCGCCTTCCAATGCGCCATCACTTTATGCATCAACCGGTCAGTGTATAAGGTATCAATGGCATGTCCCTGCTGTCGAGAGGCAAAATGCTGGCGCCACTCGACCCACCGGCGGTAGAGTCGCAGAAATGTCCATGCTGCATGCACAGATTGCTCCAATCGTCGAAGGCGCCGCTTTGTGTGCAGCGCTCGTTGAATCCACAATTGTAGTCGCTGATGTGCGCGGAACCTGGCCATGCGATGAAGGTGCGCGTCTCGGCGACGCACCAGCTCTTCCAGCGCATGCCACGTGGACGTCATCACCGTGTGACGATGGAAATTCTAGCCACAGGGTTACTTCTGATGGTCAAGGAACGCATCGGCTACGTAAGTTACCTTGCAAAAACGATCGAGGGTCGTCATGACAACTACTTGTTGCTGCCAGTGCTGCATGCTTTTGGCTTTAATGGTTCGAACATGGTGCAATCTGGCTACCGCCAGCCGCTGGTTCACTTTGCCCTAAGATTGATAAGATTAACACATCAACATTGTATACAGAGTGAGGGCAAAAGCACTTATAACGCACTAGAGCCTGGACACTACGTCGCCACCGCAGCCACCACTGTTGAAGGTTCCATCGCCGTGCTTGTTCCACCCACTTTTTCTGGCGGCGACGACGGACGCCATACGCTAGCCAGACATACCACGTATGCCACAGTGTATCGCGAGTGGACTGGATGGTCCATCGAACAAGACAGCGCTCCATGCGGCGGGAATGGGTGGCCAGGGCGCTCCAAGACCGAAGTCTCGTCTTGGCTTTCCAGTGCAACATGTACGACACTTGGAGCCGTTGATGTACTTGCACTCGCAATCCCCGTTTCCACCGCTGCCACATGATACCCATGAAGAGATGCATGGACATGTGATGGCGAATACGTCTGCGCTGGATGCCCAGGTTGTAGGTCAGCCACTGGCCCCATATGGTGGCAAGTTGTCGTCGCAAAAGTATGTGGCGGTGGACGCGACTCGTATGTTCTAGGGTCAAGGCACGGCTCCAAGCCATCCACGACCGCCGTTGCCGGGACTGATCCAACATGTGGCCAAGCTCTTTGATGGCTGGCGCTATATGCAATCGCTTGCCCGAGCGATAGGCCACGTATTTCACCCACTGTGTAAACCAACCGTGACTTCGCCGTACAAGCATCCATACAACGTTGCGCCGCAGTCGAGCTCGATATCGAACGAACTTTTTCCAAGCGCGCCACAGTGTCAGCACTTGGAGCTTGTCGTCACGATTCCAGTAGCGGCATCCCGCGGCGGCAACGTCCCGCATTGGCATAAAGCGATCAATCGGATCATCTTCGTAGCCGCTGGGAAGCACAGTTGACAGGTTAGTGTCTGCCACGGAGGGGGCACATACGGGAGATGCACTGCTCAATAGCCGGTCGAACGACGCCCAGTCATTGCGCTTGCATGTCCGCAGCATCCAGACTGCACGATGGATCTTGCAAGGACGCGATATTCGTGGTCAATGATTGGTCCAAATTTTAATTAAATTGTTAAATAATTCGACCAATTATTAAGCAATGACGAAAATTATGGTCCCAGCAATAAAAAACAATGATAAGGCGTTGTGACTACAGGTAGATAGATGGTGGCAATGTATGTGGCAGCCAAAGTGACATGATAGGCGCTTTGAGGGGACATGTACCATGCTAACCACACGACATGACTACTTCCAACGGTATATAGTATATACAAGTAGTACCAGGTATAGACGACAAGTGAATCAATCAACTACTTTCAATGTGTGTTTGAACGTTGTTAGTTTAATTGTTAATGTCGTCAGTCTTGCTCTCTACAGCGCGGTAGAAGCACGGTTCGTCAGAGAGAGTGTTGCCTAGATCCCGGAAATGGCGATGCACGTTCTTCGTCACGTGAATGGCCTCCTACAAGCAAGATTGCCGTTGAGCTGGCCAACACACCGGGCAATCGAAACCGACCTGAATGTTCTCAATGGAGAACGTAAGGGACTCATTCACAGAGTCCATTCGAATGTGCGGTGCCTCAAACGCATGCTGGCACAAGTTCCAACTGGCGCGTTGGGCTCGTCCATTGGCCGCATCTACAGGGTCATCGTTAACGTATTGATGTCATGCATAGGGTTGTCAATGCAGCAGACGTAGTGCAGCCAAGTGTTGCTCGATCTTAAGCGGCTCGTCGGGCGAGCGATGAGCTCTGGACAGCGATGGAATGTTGGCTGACTTCAACGCCTTGGCGGTCGCTTCCGATGCAGTTTTGTTGAGAAGCTTCGCGTAGTCCCGAAGCATTGTGGGCATCTGGGGTATGGTGGAAATGGGAGGCATGCGCTCCTGTAGTTTCTCCAAGTGTGACTGCACTGCTTTCTCAATCTTTCGGCTGTCCATTGTGGTCGTCGAAATGAATGCCTACGTGCAAGGTTATCTCAAGGTTATCCGGATAGTGCCATATACGTCGGAGTCACTATATTAGGCAGAATTAACTAAAACGTCAGTTAAGAACGAGAAATGCTAATATTCTCATCGTTTGGTCGACCTCTAAGGTCGGATTTGCTTGAAATTGCTCCATTCTGAGGCCTCGCTCTGAAATAATCCATCGGTTGCTCGAAAATAGTCCACTCGGCTGTGAATCCCTTCGGGTACCAGCGCTTGCAGGGCGCGTGGCGTGGATTGTCGCAGTTCGTGTCGCTTTACAGCGCTGTCAGCTACTGTATTCCAGGGGGGACAAGGGCGAATCGTGGGCTTTGTTCGCCATGAAATTATGTTCACGTCATCATATTCTGTGTGCGGAGTCATGAGCGTATACCGTAGTACGACGTTTGAAATCGAAGCCGCACGGCAGGACGTCGTGGAGGCCATCCACACACGTGTAGAACTCGTGCAGCATTTTGGAATACCCACATAACACGACCGCGAGCACGATAAAGATGGCCCACAGCACCGCCACACCGGCCACGTCGAGGTGACCGAAGCCACCGCACCTCCACGTTGCACTGTGCTTCATCGAGCAAAGGACCTAGCCAGTCGACGGCTGATGTGTTGAAAGTGAGCGGGTGCGATCGACGCCTTCCACTGACTGGCGAGACGGCTGTCGTCGGTCAAATTACAGACAGGCAGAGCCATTATCGATTCCCGACACAAACCATGCTGTGAAGTTATCGAATGATACCACAAATAAGCACGAAAAAGTGCGTTATTATTGTATGCCATTCCACTGTTCTTGATAACTTGTTATAGCGGCTACTTTCTTCACGCGGGGAGTCCCCACCGGTCAAGTACGGACGTGAATTCTAACCGATGTACAGTCTCCCTACAAATATAGCCCAGTCATACGGGAAGGTTAACTTCTGGTGCGGCGGCTGTGGAGTTAGTTGCTTGTGAGCCATACAAATAAATAAAGATGAGATCAAACCTGGCAGTGGTTCCATGCGCAATGTTCAAGATGCGATCGATGGCTTCGACTTGTTTGGTAGCAAGTCTACATAGGACATGGTATAGACTCGATAAGAAACCAAGTGCGAACGTTGTGACGTACTGGATGCCAGAATTTTGCACAAACTCGAGAAACTTGTCGTCACGAGCTAGCTCAGCCATCATTACCACCGACGTAGCCGAGTGAGGAGTCTGATCAAACGATGCATTCAATGCCGCCAAGTGGCGGATCACTCCATGTGGGTTAAAGTGTCGCCACCCTCGCCCGACAATGTATCGCTCCGAGCTGGCCGGGCGACTGGTCTAAATTCCATCAAAGCCATCAAATACTTGCAAGTGCCAGCCATATAGTAGAGGAAGGTTGATGCTTATTACCACTGGCTTGACAATCGCAACCTCGTCAAACAAGTGATGCAGCAGCCAAAGTAGGCCAACGGAAAACTCGGACGACAATTCAAATGCTTTGCATACAAAGTGGCCACCACGCTGCAGAACACGACACATGACCAGCGTTTCGCACAGAACCAAGCGATGCATGACATGTTCCTACACCCCGTCGTCGTCATACAGTATATCCTTCGTGTTACGAATATGGCGAGCGCAAGGAGTTATTACTTGGTTTGAGTGGTTTCGAGCATCTTGAAAACCTCCATCGGCCACGACCAAGTTGACGCCGGTTGCATGTCGTCGAAGTACCTACTGATAGCATTGAGGGCAAAAGTACCTAATATTCTCGACGTGATGACGGTACCGACTGCACAAAGTGGTCCATGTTTTTCTGTCGGTACAAGTCCCCCGTATCGTCGGCGCCAAACGAAATAGACACCAAGTCATGCATGGACGGTGGAAGCTGCCAGTCCAAATGCGACGAGCCACGCACGCGAATCGAGATGCCAAAGCCACGTACATGCTCGTAGTTGGCGCGGAAGACAAGGTACTCGGAGAAACCTCCTGGGGCGCCACACAAGTCGACAAAGGACAGGTCGCGCGTTCCAATCGACTTGGTCAAGTGCAAGCGAGCGTCCAACTCGGCCATCTTCATCGCGGATCGGTTGACAAATTTCCATCTCCCCAACGCCTCCCATGGATTGGCCAAGGCGCGGGCCTCTCGGTATGCTCCAGCGGACAAGCGTGCGTCGTGGAGCCTCGTCTTGGCGTCCAAAACGGACTCTAATGCTTCGATCAAGAGCGGGAAGAGGTCGGTTGATGTAGTAGACTCGGTTGACGGTGTTGTCGTCGTGTCAAAGGTTGTCGCCAGTTCGTCCAGGGTCAAGTGTGAGTGTGCCTGAAGGAAGTCTATCTGCTCAGCGACATAATCAACCTTGACGGCTTTGGGTCGGTCCTTGGGAGGCGTCTGGTTGCTTCGCTTTCGCTTACCAAAGCTGGAGAACCCCAGCAATTGCTCCATTGTGTCCATCGTTGTTGGATCTGCTTTTGACATGTGGTTATATTCCTCAAGGATGATTGGTTGAAACCAACCAAGATCGTCATGGTTCCATCAACTCGAATTTTTCATTGGCTTAAAATATGACCACAACAATACATTTAACCAATGATACTTCCTCAAATGGAAACAAATCGGCAATTATATGATATTCCTAAAGAGTCTTGAGGTTGCTGGCCAACCGCGGCAGGACGTAGATCGCGGCCGAGAGGACCAACGGCACCCCAATCATCCACGACGAACTTGTCCATGACGAAGATGCAACCACTGGTTGATTCTCCTTGGACGGCCAGTGGACGGGGAAGCCCATCATGGCCGCCACCTCCACGGCGGCTTCGGTGCCGCTCTCCTGCAACGGCACGGCGTAGACGCAGTACGTGCTCGAGAACCACAGGTTGCCTCGCCCTTGTCGGGCGCGAATCTTCTTGACAAGTTCATGGGACGTCTTGGTGAAGAGAGGGCGGAGAAACTCGGCGCGGTGGAGCACTAGGTCCTCCCGCGGGTCCACGAGCGGGTTCCACGTTTGAAACAGCGACTCGGCGTCCGACTCTTTGGCGTGAAACTTGGCTACCCACAGCGTGACCATGTTCTCTACGATGCCCGGCTTGAGCTTCTGGCCTTGCTTGGCCGTGATGAAGTTGTAGAATGACCAGTCCCGTCGGTCGCGCGGCATGAGGACGGGGTCGCGGTGGATCACGACTTGCGCCGTCTCGTGGGGCACGGCCGCCAGCAGCTCCATCATGGCCTCGTCCGCGTCCTTGAGGAACGATAGCGCGCTGCATGCTTGCGAGGACACGACGATGTGGTCGAATTCCTCGACGTGTTCGAGGCCGTTCGTGATGTACGCGATGCGCGCGGGGCGGTCGTCGGTGGCCTGCCACACGCCAGTGACCTTGGTGTCAACCAAAATCGTCTTGCAAAGTTTGGCGAGTTGCGCCGCGGCCAACGTCGATCCGTGCTTGGTCACGACTTGGTTGACTGCGTTGGACTTGGACAAGTACGTTTTGAGCAGCCCCACGGGGTAGTTGAGGCACGCTTCGTTGGAGCACGTCAGAATCATAGTCATCATGGGAAGGAGGATGCCATAGAGGTATTCGTGGGAGAACTGATGGGTCGTCACGTATTCGCCCAACGTGGTCGTGGGAAGGATGTCGTCCAAGGGCGACAGGAAGAACTGGACGTGATCGTAGATGGCGCGGAACGAAAACTTGCGCAACATGGCGGCAACGTGCCATGGAGAGGGCAGGCGCAACCCGCCGATGCACCACCCCATCGCGTGGCAGTAGAATGCGGCCTCGCCAAAGTCCGAGAATGACATGTCGCCAGGATACGGCACGATCTCGACTCCCGCTTCTTCGTACATGGCGGCGAGGTTCACATAATGCGACGCGCAAAACGACCGCGGTGGGCAGTCGACGTGCTGGTCGCCAACTCTCAGGGTGTGTACCCCCATCCCCAAGGCCTTCTCGGACTCGATGATGGTCACGTCATTCTCAGGGTGTCGACTAAGGAGGTAGGCCGCCGAGAGCCCGGAAATGCCGCCGCCGATCACGGCAACCTTCATCACAAGGCTGGTGGTGGTGGGAAAAGTGACGATGTCGTCGGGTAAACAGTAAGGAGAAAGTGCTTGGCCAATCAAAATGCCAAGAATTTCACCGACTTGGGGGAGAAATGGGAAAAACCATAAAAATGACATCGCAATAACCATAATTAGTGTAATTAGTGTGTCCAATCTTTACTGGAGCGTTTGCGTTTATCATTCGTCGGTGACTGCCATCGATGGCTTGGGGTAACATGACGTTCGCGTACTATCGCAACTACTACGTAGTATAACTAGTACTACGTAGTATACTCTAGGAGCACGATTTACTCTTGTAGTGAAACATGCTATTAACACTAATTAAGTACATCGTGAAGCTTTTTCTGTTTGTCCCCAAACAACAGTTGGGAGTGAAGTTTCCACGGTTTCACCATATATTTCATGGAAGCACAGTGCATTCTGACATTTCCGGTGCGGCGGTTCCGCAGTCTGGTTGGGGTGGTGGATTGGCCTGCAGGGCCGCGACTTTCTTCTTGAGATCGGCCCAGAGTTCGTTGGCCCCATCCACGTTGTACACGCCCACACAGCTCACACGGATCGTTTTTAGCAGCGCTTTCCCTAGCTTTCGCCTACGCATTCAGTCAGTTTTCTAGACGATCACATCGTTGATGATCACGTGTACTTGGACAGGGAAAAGATCACGGGGGTGTTGTGGAGGCGCGCCAAGTCGATGAGCTCCATCACTTTGTCGTCCAGCCCGCCTTCCGCGGCACACTCGTCGATGTTGTACGCTACCATCAGACACACGACCTTGCCGTTCTTAACCCCTCGCTTGACTTCTCGCAAACCAAACACCAGTCGCCGCGTCTTCTTGGCCTTCAACGGGTTCGTCAGCCTCGCTCGTTCCTACACCATCCCATTACGACACGTTGTCACATACAACTCACCGACCTGCAAACTCATTAGCCGACCTAAGAACGCCACCACCAGCCCTTCCACTTCCCCGCCAACGTCCACGCGCTACACACATGTCCATTCCAACTTGTAACCCCCTCAACTGTATATCATCAGGTCGGTAGTTATTACTTGATCCACATATTCCCGAATTGCTTGAGCATTGGGCAACCGTTGTAGGGATGGCAGCTCCGACAAGACTTGGCCGCCTTCGCCTTTTGTTGTGGGAGTTGAAGTGCTTCCACTAGGAGAGCCATCTTGGGCCATCCAAATCGCAGTGATCGATCTGCCGCCGTACGCTTTGCCATGGAAAGCCATCGCGACCTCTTTTGCTTGCTTGGGCGACGCATACAGCAACCGGATACTGCCCGTCGTTCGGTCCATCTCGACGTGCTCCGGCGTGTGTGGTGTGGTGCCAAACGTACTTTGCACTTCACTTTGCACTTCGTCAAACTCATCCGGGTCTTCCAGCTCTGCCATGTCACAGAAGCCATCGACCACCACTTGGCGCTGCAGTTTGCACTTGACTTGGTCGTGCACGTCCACCAACAGACACGATACATGCTGTCCACCGAACGTGACATTGTGCATTGCCGCCACGGCCGCGTTGGCACCCTTGGCGTCCTCGTACTCGATGGAGATGGTGCCGGTCGATCGGTCCAGGGACAACGACAGGATCTGGCCGTGCTTTCCAAATTGAACCGTCACGTCCTCCAACGTGTCGTCGTACTCGTCGTCTTCGTGGACTTCATCCGGATCGACCAAGTGAATCGCTACCACCGTTCGAACCAGGTCGTTCGTGGCAAAGTTGGTGCCTCCTTCCGCGGCTTGATCCGAAGTGGTCGATTCAATTGGTATGTGGTTGTGGAACGCTGCCCACTTTGCTGCCCGATCCTTGAGCACTCGCTTCTTCAGAGTCGACAACTTCTTCTTCTTCGGTCGTTCGTGGTGGACTGGAGGTCCTACCAAGTGTCCATGGGGTGTTGCTACGACTGTCGCATGGAGTGGAGCTGCTGCTGTGCCAAGTGAGACGGCTGCGGGGCGATTGTCTGACGCTGTGGAGTGAACTGCTTTGGGCTGGGAGGCTGACGGGTGGTGGGTATTATGATGGGCAGCAGTGCTGCGCTCCTTGGTCGTGGCAGTGGACGGGGTGTGCTTGGCCGACGCAGGTTTCGAAGACACGAAATCGGCCAGGCTGAAACTGGTAGAAGCTTTGACTTTACTTGGCGGTGGGTGGCTTCGTTTTTGTTTGTTTTTCTTTGAGGTCGTTGCTTGTGATGGTTGTTGTTGTACGGATGTCTGCTGAGAGGATGCTGACGTCGTTGGTGCTGGCGGCGTTGAAGTCAAGGACGGTGGTGGTTTGGCAAGTGGAGGTGTTTCCCATCGCCGTGTCGTCAAAGAAGTGGGAGGCGGTGGCGGCGGTGCCAACGTACTGGCATTTACCTGGCGCCGCAATATTTGATTGGGCTGTCTCGAGCTTACTGGAGCTGTTTCTCGCCAATTCGGTGGGTTCACGACACTCCTCGCCAAAGAGTTTGGCTGGGGCCGAGACGTCTCTGGGGTCCGTGAGTTCTTTTCCCCTGCGGAAGGCCGCGTCATAATCTGCCGCGGTTGCATGCTTGCACGAAGTACTGTAGTTTACTCGGAAAACCGGTTAAACTAACTATTATCCGGATGACTATGTAGACCGACCTTCCCGACTGAAGCAGTCGAAGGATGCAACTTCACACTGTTCTACACACAGCGCGGAAGGTGCACACATGATGCTCCCGATGATGCTGTCAGTTGTTGCCGTGCATGAAGTTGTGCGTGTCGGGGCCTGTTCTGCAGCGTGTTTGTTAGGGGATTCCGGATATATCCGGACGCGACGGTCTGTTTCGGTTGGAGCTAGATATGCCACAACCAATCGGACGTCGCGTTGAGCTGCACGGTCCAATCAGCAACGTCAACGCCACCATCTAAAATAGGCACACCTCGCCATCGCATTTCCAAAGGTTCGACATTCACGGCTATCCAACGTCTCATTTCTAGATCCTCTCTTGTACCCGTCGTCTTGTCCGCATTTGCTGTCATCGTGGCGCATTCTCTTCCATTGAACATGGTGCTGAATGTGTTTCGCAAGACCGAAGCTGACGTGAGCGACGAGGCCAAGGCGTTCATCAACTCGCTACCATCGACCTTCATGAACCTATTCCGCAAGAAGCGCAACTTGATTCCTGTGTGGAGCTCCAGCAAGTACTGCGTCATGATCAAAGCCACGTTCCTGGTTTACTACCGCGCGTCCAAGGAACCACACCAACCTGCAACCAGCACGAATGGCCAGGCGAGTGACGATCGCCATTACAAGTTTATCAACCTCCGCCACTGTCACATCAAAATCGTCGACGACGATAACCTCGGCAATGTGTTTGTGATTACGCCCGAGCAAGGCCGGGGCAGCGTCACGTTTGCTGCTGACAGCGAGAAGGACCGCGCCAAGTTCATCACGCACGCTAACAACGTGCAGCGTGACGTGCCACGTCCGACAGACTTTCAAACGCTAAAGTTGATTGGCAAGGGTCACTATGGGCGTGTGATTCTCGCAAAAGACAACCACAACCAGTTGTTTGCGATCAAGGAAATGAAGGCCGGGCAAGTGAAACACAAAGTCATCCACACTGAACGCATGGTCATGGAGTGGGTGGGCGACCACCCGTTTGTGCTGGGCCTTGACTACGCCTTTTCTAGTGGCCGGTCGTTGTATTTAATCTCCAAGTTCATGCCAGGAGGCGACCTCTTCCTGCACATGCAGAACCACGGCGGATCGTTCCCTGAAGCCGTCGTCAAGTTCTATGCATCGGAAATCGTGGTCGCGCTAGCCCATTTGCACACCATGCACATCTTGCATAGAGACATCAAGCCGGAAAACGTGCTACTGGACGTGGATGGGCATATCAAGCTGGCCGACATGGGCCTGTCGAAACGGTTAGAGTCCAAGCACTCCCGCACCAAGACCATGTGCGGCACGGATGCGTACCTACCGCCCGAGATGGTGAGTCGGACGCTGCAGGGCCATGGCCTGCAAGTCGACATGTGGCAGCTCGGGTGTCTTCTGTATGAGCTTCGGTCGGGATACCCGCCGTTCTACTTGCCCCAATCCAAACAGAAGCACACCCACCAACGCATCTTGTTCCAAAGCCCAAAGTTCACATCCACCATGACGCCCGAGTTTCTGGACTTGCTCACGACGTTGCTCGAGAAAGACCCATCCCGCCGACTCGGTCATTTGAACGGCATCGCCGACGTCAAGGACCACGCGTGGTTCCGCGGCACCAACTGGGACAGTGTACGAAAGAAGGAGCTCGTGCCGCCGATTCTGCCCAAACCCGCGGGCGACGACTGGGTCAACAACTTTGACCCGCAGTTCACGGAGCAGCCACATGCATTGGACGACGAAAAGCTCCACGAGGGGGCGCTGAACTTGGCAAAGGAATTCGCTGGTTTTGACTACGTTCGGCAAACCTTGCGGCCGTCCACCACACCCACCCTGCAGAACCGCGAGCCCGCGATCGATCACTCGTCCACTACGACCCTGGAACCACATATGGTGTCGTTGCAATTATAACTTAATTCATTCGATGAAAAATGGAATACTCTAGACAGTGTTTGACATGTACGAAGGTGCTCCTAGCAAGGTGGTTTCCGCGTTGAAACGAATCACACTGGCGTAACATGGCGCTTAACTAGAATATACTAGTAGACCCCGAATACTAGTTGTTGTAGTGACCTATTCAAGACCGACGGAGATACTGCACCGACAACACGGCTACTAAGCCTACGACTACAACACCTAGCCCAATGTTTTCCCAGTCGATGGTTGGCAACGTTGACGCTGGATGGAAGCTGTCCTTCACGGACGAATATGCTGCAGCGGTTGTCGTCGCCCTTCCAAAGCTCGAGCCAAACTTCAACCTGTACATGGACAATGTGATCACAAACCACGTCTCCCACGACGGCGACAAGTCCATCGCGCGTTCGTAGTACTGCTTGGCGCGGTCTACGTTGACGGGAAGGCCACCGATGCCGAATTCGTTCATAAAGCCCACGTTGTACGCACCCACACTAACGCCGTCCGCGCTGGCGCGGGTGTACCAGTACATTGCCAACTGAACGCTAGACTCAACGCCGCACTTGCCATAGTAATAGCAATCGCCCAACCGCAACGACGCTTCGACTTCGGTCGCCTCGAGCAGGTACGTGGCCGAGTTATTCAGGCCCGCTGCGTCATACAGAAACGCAAGATTGCCCGCGGCCACAGGATACCCATACTCCCGCGCCTCATGATACAGCCAAATCGCGTGGTGGTACTCGTGCTTCAGGTACGCGTCGAAGCCTTGCCGAGCCACTTTGCCCCAGTCCCCCGCCGCACTCGCCGCCCGGAGGTATGTGATGCCGTCGCCCAGATGTCGATCGTCGAACGTTCCGTCCACGTTCAGAGCTACCTTGCCGAGCTCGAAGATCGAGTCGAAATGACCAAATGATCGCGCGGCGTCGCGAAAGTACGCTAGCGCACGCGTCGCATTCGCGGGGGTCCCGTGGCCGGCAAAGTGGCAATACCCCGCGTTGAACAAACTGTCCCCGTCCGTGTGTTGCGCCGCCGCTTGCTCAAAGTACTCGAGGCCCTTTGTCTGGTTCTGGGTGCAGTTTGCCGTGCCGTAAAAGTGGATGTATCCGAGCCCGTTGAGCGCGCGGACGTTGTGGAACGTGGCGGCTTGTTCATACCAGCGAATGGCCGTTTCGTTATCTTGAGCGGTGCCTTCCCCCTTCAAGAGCATGCCACCGGCAGCTGACTAGAAGAAAGAAATCAGGTGTTCCAAACTCACACAAATGTGCTCTGGGTAGGGAAAATTAGGTGGAGGGGAAAGTGTAGGGGTTGGGATTCGATGTGGGACGGCGGGTACGCACCATGCCGTGGGGACTGCCCAGGGTCGCCGCGCGCTCAAAGTACTGAAACGCCAGCGAGTGATCTCGAACACATCCACGGGCCCCCCAATAATGCAAGTCCCCCATCGCGACCATGGCCTCCACGTCCTCATCCTTGTCGGCACGCATCTTTTGAAACTGAATCCACTTGTCGTTGTCGCCTTCTTGGCCTTCGGCCACATTCACGTCGTCTGCGTGAAACAACGAGTTCATTTCGTGTCTACATCACACAAGGATCACTCAACGTCGATCAATATACTGTGGGACTGGCTGTACAGGGGCTGGTTCCCGCGCACATGGTACGCCCGCGACGCTTCGGCGGCAGCGTGGTAGTAGTAAAAGGCAGCTGTTTCAGCATCCATGTCCACACCGTCCCCTTTTTCATACCGACGGCCCAAGATAGTCATGGACGACACATCGCCCATGCTGGCTGCGTAATGATACAACGCCACCGCTTCCCCTGTCCATAAATATTGAGCTAAACCACTACACGTAGTTGAATCAACTACACCTTGGGTGTGGCGGTCAAGAGCATAGATGAGGGCTAGGGGCCTTGGCCGCAGCAGCTTCCCCAGCACGGAGCGCTTGCTTAAAGTACCATGCTGCCAACGTCGCGTTAGGCGTAGTGTCCGTGCCATACAAATAGGCTTCGCCCATTCGCAACAGTTCCGCCAAGGCGGGTTCGTCCAGTGGTTGCATCAGAGATGTCATTGTCTGATCGGACACTGGGATATGCCGCTGATCCCGATGGATGGCACTAAGTTGGCCCGCCACTGTCGCGGACGACAAAAGTCGACCATATTCTTGTCGAAACACCGTTTGGATCTGCGATGTGGTCAGCGCCGCCGCGTACAGCCGCACGTTTTGCATGAATCCACGCACACCGTCCATCCAAGGGTTTCCCCCAACGTACAACCCCCCCGAGTTGGGCAACACGACGGAATGATGGACGTTCATTTCAGTGTCCACTTTGCCATTGATCGCATACACGTACGAGAATGTTTTGTTTCTGTCGTCTTTGCTACCATTCAAAGACACGGCGGAGGTATTGTCGAACGTAAAGCTCAACAGCACCCACTCGTGGAGCGGTAGTTCACTCGTGGTGGTCATCCCAACGTCCATGTTGTCGGGGGTACTCACGCGAAGGATGAGCCGACGGTCGTGGGGCTGCAGCCAAGCCGACGGCGTCCGGTGTTGGTTGTGGCCTGGCCCCTTGTAGAACAGCGTACGATGGCTCCCGGTGGAATCTTGGCTTAAATAGATCCAAAACAGCAAACTCCACGATGGCGTATGGGGGACAGACGTGTCTGGAAGATGCAATGCGTGGGAGCCGTCCAACGCGACGGTTCCACGGACTTGTATGACCGGAGGGGGTGGCCATGACCTCGCTTCGTTTCTTGTGGATTCAACGACATAGATCACTGTAGCAGGCGCGCAATCCGCTGAAATCTCAAGGTGAGACGAATCCAACTCCAATTGAGATGGCGCGTCCGGTATCACTAGCCGCCACGCGTACACCCCAGGCACGGCGATGCGGTAACTGATGCCAGTGGCGCGAAAGTGCCGAGGATGTAGCACTTCAGGGCGCAACTTGACCGCTGGCACTTTGGTGATATTGGCAACCCAAACGTCCGTTGTGATGGTCAAAATTCGAATGCGCAGCACCTTCAACGTTATCCAAGTTCCTTCAAGTTGGTCGCCAATGTCAATGGGAAAATCCAAGATGGCATCGATGTCGTCTTTGGTTGACACTCGGGGCTGGTTCGTCGCAGCTTCAAACTCGACTTCGAGAATATCTCCAGCCATCAAGAGGCCATCTGGACGGTTCGGCACCACCAACGTGGCCACTGTGGGCTCGCACGTTGCCACGTCCAATTCGCACGTGAGTCCTTCCTCTTGATGCGAATCATGCTCGATGGCAATTGCGTCGGGCGTAAACTCTGTGGGCTTTAGCAGCACTTGTGATTCTGCTACAACGAAGTCCGTGCCATCATCGCTAACTCGGACAAGGGCGACGTGGATATCATGTGATCGCGACATGGTTGTCCAAGACACTTCAACGTTGACTGCATCGTAAGGGCACACGGAGCCCGTCTTGGAGACATTCCAGTGAACGTTTTCCAAGAGTGGAGTCAACCTGGCCTGTGTAGAGATGACTAGAAGGCATAGCAGCCATGCCAACGAGGTCATCGTCTTCGTGGTTGGTTGCCTTTGGGTCAAAAATCTGATCGATGTCAAAAGATCCATAAAATTGTGTTCTTATCTGGATGCCGAAACTCTGGTCACCTTGCATTAAATGAATGACCATCTATGTTTAGACAGTACTATCTTAATACTACCTCCAGCCGGATTTAAACCAGCCATAAGCGAAAAAGCTGTATATTTTCAACAATTTTTCAAATTTGGAAAATCCGAAAATATCAGTGTAAACAGTTTAATTCGACGAATCACAGTGGCTTGAATTCATAAAAATATGAGCAATTTTGTGTTGGGCAATATAATTTCAAAATATCATACTCAAATCAAGATAGAATTGTACGGATAAAACTAATTCTATCCGAAAAATCAGAATGATGATCAATATTGAGCGGCAATTCGTTTGTGATTCGCGCGGTTTCCATGAAAGACCTCACATCGGACCAGCGCCGCGCAGTGGTGGACCACCTCCTCTTGCGCGTTGTCCAAAAGCCATGCAAACTTCAACGCGGTGCCATAAAAGACGTGGCCCGCATCTTTGGCCGCAATCGCCACACGATCTCCGAGATTTGGAGGCGTGCAAACGTATCACTTGGCGGCGACCTACCCATGCGTGAAATCGTATGCGAGGACATCTCAAGCCAAAAGAAGGGCAGGGTCGGTCGAAAGCAAAAGTATACCGATCTACCCGCACGTATCCGAGCCGTTCCTGCTGCTCAACGTACAACATTAATGTACGTAGCTCATGCCATTGGTATCCCTCCAAGCACGTTGAAGGACTACTATAAACGTGGACTCTTGTTGAAGTACTTGGACAGCGTCATGCGTGAATTGTCGCTGCAAACTGCCAATGACTTGGAAATGAGTGAGATCTTCACTGCATTGGAAGAGCTTGTGATCAGTTGCGAGGATGAGGAAGGAGTGTAGGTTTTGCATAAAAAATTAATTATATATGAGTTTCATTATGACCTGTCACTATTTTAATTAAACAACACTGTTTTTAATATTATACCGCTATTTGTATTGAATTGTATAATTATTTAATATATTATGGGGGTCTCTCGTGTGGCGGGTTTATTTCCGACTTTTACAAAATTCGAAATGGCAGGTTTAAATCCGGCTGGAGGTAGTAGTATACAGTTCTCTCAATAAAACGTTTTCGAACAACGTTATCAAATAAATTTACCTCATTCATCTAAAACGGCACTGTAAATTCGACAGTGGTTAAGGCACACGTCACTGTCAGTACAAACGTGGAAGAGTTGCAAATCCACCAAGTCATATATCCATTGAGCTACCTGGTACTGTACTGTATATACTCCAATTAGTGTTGATTTATGATGATAAGCTTACATGTACTACATAGTATTAATAGCTCTAGGGAGGCAAGAATTGGAAGTCACGAGCGAGACTTGATTGGTTTGATTCTCGAACATATGTGCAAAGTGTCGTTTCACCGAAAGGTCACTGAATTTTCACTTTTCCACAACCTGCGCCACACCTACCGCCATGGGCAACTCGAACAGTCGAAAGCAGAACAGCCACCTCATTCGACTGGTTGCCAAAAATGAAGTCGACCTGTACTTGGACGATTTGGCCGAGTACTCGTTTGGGATCGCCGATGGCTTTGAGGTCCAGCACTACATGCCGCCGCAATTTCCCCTCCTGCCCCTCATCACGAAACCGCGGCTGCAGTTGTGCTTGAAGACATGGGAAGTCGTGCAATCCGCGAGCACGGACAAGATGAAGCAGTATGGCAAGCCAGGCATCATCCTTTTCTACGACGAGTTCTTTTACCGGCTTATCGAGCGAGACGCTACGTTCAGCCAGGTGTTTGTGAACGTGAAGGAGCGCGGCGAAGTGCTCATCAAGGCCCTATCGTTCATCCTGAGCATGCGCGCGGACGATCCCGCCGACGTGACCAACATGCAGAACCGGTGCCGGTTCCTCGGCCACAAGCATCGGACATACGCTCGAGTCCGACCGCACCATTTCGCGGCGTACACCATGACATGCATCGAGGTGATCATGTATTGGTTGGGGGACGACGCGTCGCCCCTGGTGGGCGATGCCTGGAGCAACGTCGTGGGGTTTGTGTTGAGGTACGATTCGTTGCGTACAACATTTCTCGCCAACGTCAACTTGCCCTAGGTATCTGTTGGAGCCGTACTTGTATGGCCGGACGGACCCGTATGAACTGTATCAAAACACGACAATTGCTGCGGTGCGGGAAATTCAGGAAAGCTCGGCGCAAGCCATGTCCTCGCAACAAATGCAACCGAGTTCTAGCTCGCGGTCAATCAGCTCCGACCGCGGAGGAGTAGGGGGGCCCCACAGAGTGGAACGCCGAATCAGCGGCAACCCCAACAACACCAATTTGACCAAGACGTAGCGGCCTCTTTTGCATTGAAATAAATAACATATTTCCTACGTAATCTGGGAATAATACACGAGGGAAATAAACACCACTGGTGGAGGTAACGTTAGCTGTTTTTTGTTGCTGTTATCTGGGCGGTGCCCGCACGGATTCTCGCGCGGATCGCTTGATACTAAACGTGGACCGGATGCTTTCCATGACGGACGGGCCCTCTGAAAATTGGCGCACTTCCAATGGATGGGTCCGCATGAACTCGATGAGCTCCAATAAATACTCGAGCGGGTCGCCCTCCTGCAGCGTCCGTAGCCACACATCAAAGATAGGGAACCGTGTGACGATGCGCATAACTTGACGCATGGCGCGCTTGCTGTGGTCGCTCAGCTCGACGATGGCCTTTTGCTGGGGAAAGCCATCTTGCACGACCGTCGCTATGTTGATCTGGAGGGACTTCTTTAGATCGTGGCGTTTCTTCATGATTTGGTACTGCACCGGTCGAATCAAGTTGGACGTGTGTGTTTCGACGAGAAACTTGGTAGCCATATCGAGGGAAAACTTGGTGCGCGACCGCGTGAACGAGTTGTCGGCGGGCTGGACGCTGGTTTGGGAGATCAACGATGACATCTTTGACACGCGGATAAACGACAATGAAGGCGGCATCACCCCCACGGTGGTAGTGGTTTCCGGTAGGATGCTGGGCCGTTGATGCGAGAGCTTTTGTTTGGTGGGCTGGTGACTAAAACTGCGACGGAGATGCACCAGGAAATTCTCGCAGCAAAAATGCACGTTGAGTAAAATGTTGTCGACGAGAAACACCGTCGACGGCTGCACGTCAGCCAACGATTGCACACGCCACAGATTCGACACAAACCCATCGCCAATGTACGACGCGGGGTTCTCCGGGGCCGATTCAATCCATGAGATAGCATCGAGGATGATGCGGAGAAGGGCGTCGACTAGCGCGGTGTCCTTGGCATGCATGCGCACAAACTGCGACAAGTGGAGCAAGTTGAACTCGTCTGCTACGTCCGTCGCAGCGGTGGCATACGCGCGGACCATGTGGGTTTTGAAATGACTGGCTAGGGTCGTCGCTGCCGATAATGCCAACATGCGATCATCACACGCCAAGAGCGTACACAGGACGTACACCATTGTGGGTGGAGTGAACTGCACCGCTCGATTCGTGTACATGTGGTGGATGGTCCGGCACACGACTTGTCTGGCCTTGGGGTACGGGCACCGCACCACGTCGGACATGACCACAATGGCTTTTCGGCACGCCGCCACCAGATCCGGATCCACGCTGCACAATTTGTGGTCGTCGTGGGGGCTCAGGGGGTGCATGGTGCTGTTCACGAGGGCGGCAAGGGTCGGTCCGCAGCCACTTTTGATCGTTTGAATGTGCTCTAGTATCGTGGCGGGGATGGCGCTGTTAGCTCGGTTGGCTCGGTTGGCTTTGATGCCCATTGACGTCGGCCCCGTAATAGAGGAGGCCGGTGTCGACTCGAACAGACCAAAGGGGAAGCTAAACGAAGCATCATCCCCTTCGGTCGTCACATTTGCGAGCGTAAAGTTTTTCGCCCACAACAGCCAAATGGATCGGCTCGTGTACGCGGCGACCATGCCGCCTTCGCCTGCCGTCAAAGACAGATTCGCCTTGAGCAAATTGACCAGGTGCAGTTTGTAGTCCACCGTCCATTCCGTCTGGTCCTCCAATGTCATGGCGACGGCCCCCACGGCGCGCACGCGGTCCCGAGCATGCATAAGCGAGGCTTCGATGGACAAGTTGGGGATTTGAAACAACTGCGCGCGGAGCTTGTTGACGTGCCACACCGCACACCCAAAGCAGGGGTAGACTCCAATGAATACGTAGTTGACGATGGTCGTCACGTCGTCGTCGTGGTGTAGTTGCATGGGGGCGTGAAGTTTGTGGTGAATCGACAGCACCAAGAGGTGGATCGAGAAATAGCAAGAAGTAGCAAACGACAACGACCGCAAGTTGTTGGGAAGCATGCCCACGCCGAGGCACTACCGGACATTGTAATAACGAACTGATAAAATATACGCCAGAAGACAAGCGGGGGGAAGGGAGCGAGAGGTATAGGTACCGGTTGATGCGAATAGTTATACCAAAGCAACAGCGAAAACAACCCAAAGTTGGCCACGCTTGCGGTCAACATGATGTTGTATCCGTCGAAGTACAAGTATAGCTTTTGCACGGTGATAAACATCAAGCAGCACGCTACAACAGAGTAGTAAGAATCAGTGGCAACTTACGAGATTTCAGCCAGGTTTGACCCATTTCAAGGACTTTCGTTGCACCTGTGCGGCAATACGTCATGAGCGAATAGTACGACTGTTGGAACCGGAATTGCACCGCGTACACTTGGTCGCTCAAGTGCTTTTTGTACAGCAATGTGCCTACATAACACAAAACGATGAGTCTAGCGCTTTGCCCAGCAATTCCAGCTCGACGGCCAGCAACGTACGCCACAACACGGTCGTGAACGCCACCACCGCGACGCTATAAGTCAACCAGAACCGATCTTCGCGAGAACAATCGAGCCATGGCAAGGACTCCATGCCGTTTGCACATGCCCCAAAGTCCAGTAACACGTATACGTACGTTGTAAAGAATGTGTCGTACAGCAGCGGACGAAACACCTTCTTCATCGCGCCTTTGAATGCGTGGTGGCCGTACAGGTCCAATAGCAGCAATGTGGTAAACCCCCCCAGTTTGCCCAACTGCAAAACCAAGTACAAACCCGTGAGTTGGAGATGCGACGCATTTGGCACATCGAAGACCAAGTTCAACGGCAGGAAACTAAAGTTGCCGAGCTCGATGACCATGGACAGCAGGATAAGACTCCGACGTGGATCGTTGACCGTGCGGCCCAGTACTTGCTTCTTTTGCCTGGCTACCACCACCCCCAACGCTACGCAAACGACACGCGTGTCTGTTCACTAACGACGGCCAACTACCACCACATATATACTAGTAGTTAGTACCTTGGGTGGGGATGTCGTGCAGGTCGTCGACGCTGGTGAGGAGCTCGCGGCGGAGACTTGTGTACCATGAAAACACCCCCGCCAACACAAAAAAGATGGCCCACAGTGTCAGCGGCAGCGCAATGTCCAAGCGCTGCTGGCCGCAACAACGCCACGTGATGGTGTGGTGGGAGTCGCACGATCGTCGCCAGTCGGACGCGTTGGACGAGTTGACTCCGAGTGCGTCGTTGAATACTGCCAAACAGGTGGGGGAACACGTCGCCCCAGGTATTGAGCAGTCGGTGTAGTCCTCGAGCATGCCTCCGCCAAGACGCGGCGGAACGGCCAGCTCAGCTAGTCACGGGTATTTGTAGCTGTCGATGCCACTATTAATTTAGCGAAAGCGAAACGCCCTATGACCTGTAACCATTGTCGCAAGGTCCAAAATAGACTTGAAAGGAGGATAGACATGGTGGTGAAATTCGAGCCACAATGTAGGTATGGTTGACAGTGAGACAAACTACTACTACACACTATCGTTACCTGCAAATTTACATTATGTAGCTAGCATGCATGCTAAAAGCGTTGCTGTGTATGTACTGTACTAGTATTGGATTATTTTCGTAGGTATTCCTTTAAAACGAGCGAAACAGCATGATGTCTGACATGATGTGCTATTCGGCAACTCGATTTCTCGTCGTGACAGAGTGATGTAACTCATGCGCCTACTCGTCGGCCGTAGCATCGTCGGCGGCGGCGGTCCCATCCGCCTTGGCTTTCATGAGCCTACAATTCAAAAATGAAGGTACTGTACTACAGTAGTTGACAATATATTTAAGCGATGTGACCTTCGCTTGTTGGCTTTTTGCAAGTCATAGCCAGACACTGTTTCAATGCGGTATCGCTCAGGTGGCGCCTTGAGCAGTTGTTTGCGTTGACGCATGCTATTTGAATGAGTTGTTAGCGAAATCCAGACTTTCCCATCCATGTTCTTTTTAGAAAGATATATATTATATATAACCTGGCTTTCTTGAGGTTGAGCATCCACGCAGGCACGTCGCACCCAGATAACTTCATCACGTTGGCAATCGTGCGCAAATGCACCTATGAATACACCATCGCACGAATCAAATGAATGCTAACTCACACGACCAAAGTTGACACAAGTACCATGTCGTTTTCCGTAAACAGCGTCACGGCCTCGCCTTGTCGGCCATTGCGCCCAGTGCGACCAATGCGATGGATGTAGCTCACCGCACTCTAATCCAAGTCATGGTCAGTCCCTGTATGCATCGAACCTAGTACTAGTACAAGTAGTACTAGTAGTAGTAGGAAGTAGCAGCGGTTTTCTATTCCAACCTGGGGAAAATCGTAGTTGATAACCATGTTGACCCCCTTGAAATCGATCCCTCGACTCATCAAGTCGGTACAAATGAGCACCCACACCGTGCCCGTGCGAAAGTCCTTGATCACTTTGTCTCGCTATACATTCGTTAGTTCATCCATATATATATTATATATATATATGACAACATATATATATATATATATATAAATATTTACTTGTTCCTTGGTACGGTCGGCATGGATGGCTCCAACGTTGATGCCGTCATATACCAGTTCCTGATACAACTGCTTGGCGCGATCCTTGTTTTGGACAAACAGCAGTACTGGCAATTTCAACCCCTAACCTCAACATAAGACCCTGTGGTGGTGGTTAGTAGGTGCATGAATAGTACCTCTTGAATCAACTGTTTCATCGCAACTAGTTTGCCTTCTTCTTTGCCCACAAACATGAGTTTTTGATTGATCGTCGTGGCCCCTACCACACAAATACACACAAATCAATGAATTCTATATTACTTCGAAGTAATATTTTCAAAATCAGTGTTAGGACTACTTAACATTGCACGTACCTGCATTCTTGGTCCCAATTGAAATCTTGATCGGGTCTTTCAAGACGGACTGCGCCATTTCCTCGACGCCCTAAATAATATCCACCAATGTATATTGAGCAAAACCAAGTCTTTTTCAGGTCGGAATGATATATATTAATATATATATTGGACGGGATTGTACGAACCTGCAACATGGTGGCGCTGAACATCATGCGCTGCATCTTGGGGTTCGTACACGCTGCAAACACGTCGTCAATTTGCTCCACAAAGCCCATGTCGAACAAACGATCTGCTTCGTCCAAACAAATCATCTCGACCCTACAAAATAATAATAAGTATATTACGCCATCGCAGAAATAAATCAGCTATCCCATCGTGATATACATATATATATATATATTTACGTACGAGTCGAGCTTGACGTTGTCGTTCGTAATGAGATGCACCAAGCGCAATGGGGTGGCAATCACGACGTCATAGTTGACCGTGCACGTCCTATTATCGTAATAACAAATATTAGTACTGAATCATGCATGGACAATATACACTTATTTTAAATAAAATGCATTTTGCGGGCATATATATATATATTTATTTATATATAATGAATCGGAGTACGAACTTGGAATGGGATGTAATGGTAGCAGCGCTGGCTTTGGACAAGAGCACAATGTGAAACTTGCGGCCCAGTGCCAACCGTTGAAATTCGCCGTGGATTTGCACGGCAAGTTCCCGTGTCGGGACCAGCACAATCGATCGAATGCCCTGTACGAATATAATATAATATTATTTCCAGCATCGTTCAAACATATTTTTTGACGACGAAAGTACATTGCAGGCATGGATGGATGGATGGATACCTTCAAGTCGGGCGCGCCCAGGTTGAGCAGCATGGGGATGGCAAAGGCAGCCGTCTTCCCCGACCCCGTAGGGGCAATCCCCAGCACATCTCGCTGTTTGAGGATGGACGGAATCGACTGCATCTGAATCGGCGTCGGGTTCTTGTATTGAGAATCTTCTATGTTCCGCAACAGCACCGTTTTGAGCGCCGTGGCGGTGGTTCTCATCTGCGCAAACTCCAAAATTGGATCGGGCACCACCGTGCCTTCCACGGTGATGTTGAGTCGGCGACGCAGTGCCTTGATGTCGTCGCTACAAGTAGATAGCACGTAAAAAACTTATATATCAACCACGTTTGAGATGACAAGTAAACAAGGACATACGCATGGGAGACCGCTTTGGGCTCGTGGGGGGTGGTGGCGGAGGTTTCTGTGGACGTTGGTTTACCAAAAACCGTCATATCATCGGTATCGTTGTCGTCGTCGTCGTCGTCGCTGTCGCCACTCAAATCTAATTCCGGATGCACACACATATATATCGTTCCTTCGTTGTGGTGTCATGTGTTCGTGGTTGTCCAGGTGTACCCTGAGACGCCGTGCGTTGTGTGCGTTTCTTTCTGTGCTTTTTCTTGGATTTGGGACTGGTGGTAACGGTACTGGTCGTTGGGACAAGCAACTGGGACACTGCCTTGCGATCTTGGTCCGACACGACAGCTTCTGCCAACGCATCTTCGCTCAACTTTCGCTTTCGGCGCTGCTTGCTGCCTTCCTTTTGGACGGGGGCGACTTCACCTGCCCCAGCCCACAGCGGCACGTCCATGCTGGCCGACCGGTCCTTGCGAGGTGGTGGCGCGGCTACCTTCTTGGTTGCGATAGGCGTTTTTCTAATGTTTGTGTGGTTTGACGTAGCGAATTTGTTAGCACTCTTGTTTCTTCCAAGCACGGCCATGCGTACGTACTTGTCAAACCCAAAAAAGTCGACGGCGCCAATGTTGGTGTTGGTGACACCTGTGCCAGTGGGGCCATTCTTGTCTACGATGAGAGGTGGTTAACGTCTCTGACAAGAACACATGAAGGACTTGCTCACTTTTGAACAACTTGATGTCCTTCTCAAAGCGCTTCGAGTTGAACGACGCGCCGACTTGGAGGCTGCGGAACGCGTCCATGATCAACCTTGCACTCGAACAATAACCCCTTTGGTTGGCTCAAACCAGTGGACATCTCTGATTGGCTCAAATAATGAGTCTCCTAATATCTCACCACATGCCGGATGGTGAGAGTGCGAAAGGTCGCCAATAAGACAGTTTTATTTATTGACTGTGAGTTGGTCTCAAGGGGTGTGCGTTATTGTTATCGACGACTCGAAGGGATGGCTTTCATACAACCGAGCGACGGAAACACGCAGCCCCACGTGTTGGCTTTGATCATTTGGCACCGCCCGTCTTCAGGGGCTGTGCAGTATCGTCCAGAACAGTTGGACGCGCCAACGTCGCCGTAAAGGGGACATTCCATGCCCCTTGGGAACATGCCACTACCGGTGCAAGCCACCCCACGGCATGTCGGGATCATGTAAATCGACTCATTGCAAATGCTAGCATACGTTCCGATCGACTCAGCTGGGTCATAGGGTGTGGTTTCTGGTGTCGCCTGCCGAGGTCGAGATGTGTCAGGTGGTTCGTTTGTTGGTGGGGTATTCATTGGTGTTGGCGTGGACGGGGGAAGCTCAGTGGGTGATGGCTCGTTAGTTGGTGGAGCTGTAGTGGGCTCTGATGTGGGCGGCTCAGTGGGTAATGTCTCGTCAGTTGGTGGAGCTGTTGTGGGCTCTGACGTCGGCGGCTCAGTGGGTGATGGCTCGTCAGTTGGTGGAGCTGTTGTGGGCTCTGATGTGGGCGGCTCAGTGGGTAATGTCTCGTCAGTTGGTGGAGCTGTTGTGGGCTCTGACGTCGGCGGCTCAGTGGGTGATGGCTCGTTAGTTGGTGGAGCGGTTGTGGGCTCTGATGTGGGCGGCTCAGTCGATGTTGGCTCGTTAGTAGGCAAGGCAGTCGTGGGCACTGACGAAGGTGGTATGGTTGGTTCGTCTGTTGTTGGGAAAGTAGGGGAAGCTGAACTTGATGAGCTTGTTGAATTGGTGGAATCCGTGGTTGACGTTGAATTCTCCTTAGGAGGAGTTGTAGGCGTAGTAGTCGGGGACCACGTGGGCGATGGGGGTGTCGCGTTCGAGCTATTCCACAAGGCTGGGTCTATGGTAGTTGGTAAAACAATGTATGGGCCGAGCGTGGGTGCGCTTGTGGTGTCATTTGGCTG